ACAGCACCAAAAATATCAGGGACTTCATTCAATTTGTTTTGTGCAAATAGAATAAAGATCCTTTTCAACTGACTGTTCATCCTGTGATCAAGTCCTCTTTATCCATCAGGATGAAGTGTAATATAAAAGCCATAATTTTTGACAGCAGAAACGTATTGTCCATAACTCCTAGCAAGGCTTCAAACATGCTACAGCACTGGAAGCTTCTCAAGCCCAGCACGTGTCCCTCAGGCTGAAGAGCTTCCCTACTGGAATGCTGTGTTCCCTGTCCAACAGAGCACATCCTCTTGCCACAAAACCATCTCTGCTGCTGTGCTCCCAGCCTCCTGTTGGCATGCAGCTCTGTCTTCAGAGCTGCCAGCTCTGGAAGTGGCTTCCCTACAAGATGAAGGAGTTTTTTAGCAAGCTCTGTTATTAATCTCTCTTGCATTTGTTTTGTGCTCTTGCCTTGTTCTTGCCATAATGACAGATGTAGATCATCAATAAAGTAGTGATTGTTTAGCATTAGTCCGTTTTCACATTGGGTCTATTTTCTGGTTCAGCTCAGCAGGAATATGCTACCACATTCCAAATATTCTTTGCAAAGTACAGGACAAAAAATATTAATGCATAAAGTATGACAGTATTACGGCACAGCTGAGGTTGGCAGGGACCTCTGGAGATCATCTAGTCCAACCCTCTGCTCAAAGCAGACTGCTCGGGGCCTTTTTACAGTCATGTTTGAATTATCTCCAAGGATGAATATGGGAGTCACTGGAGCAGAAAGTACCTACTCTGTACCTGAAATGCTGTCAGGAACTATTAAAATAGGCTGCAGCCTCTGGTTTTCTGTACAAGGTAAAATGTAAGCTGGGTTTTTGGTGGTTCTACAATAAAAAAAAAAAAAGAGTCTGGAGTTCCATGTGAGGGGAAAAAACCTGGGAAGACTAAGTCACCACAGGTCACCACTGGTGTTCAAGTACATTATAACTCAGTAGAGATGAACATAACCCATCTCTGGTTTCAGAGCCTAGATGTGGCTCTGACAAGACAAAGCAAGCAATAGCACCACTTTTTAAAAATAACTGGCATTAGAGCTATTACCACCACTTGCATAGTGCTATTCATCATCTGCCAGAACCGTTCTTTTAGCAAATGTTCTCTCCAGTCATTAGCACATTATCTGTGGGGGACAGCTTCTAAAAATGGGCTTGATGAGAATGTGACTTTTCAAATTGAGGGGTGTTGTTATAGCTAACAGTACAAACTCTCACTGTAATCACGTCAGCAATGAACGCAAAAAAAAAAAAAAAGATTCATCTTCAAAACATTTCCCTTTTTGCTTGTTTTTCTCACTGTATGATGTTTCATTGCTAGGAAACACACACAAACTCCTGCTGAGGATTCCCAATAAAAAGCCAGTGCAAGCAGTTATCACCAGATTGCATAATTTTCTCCTCTGCTTAGAACAGCATCTACTTGCAGTCGCTGTGAGCTGAGGGAGCCAAGCTGTATTTTCTTATGGCTTTTTGCCTCTAAGTGCATAGCCACTGCTTCTCCTAGAAAAACACATCAGAAGTGCTTATTTTCTCTTTTCCCTACAGAATCAGGGTGATCTTGAGAGACAGACCACTTGACTTTAATCAGACAGTCATATTGATAAACCCCTGGGTTTAAAATGGCACTGACATTTCAAGGGTTTTTGTTGGAGGGAGCATGACTCATAAAGCTTGGACTTGAGGGGTTGTTGTATGCTAGCAACATGCAGCTTTTATATCAGACAGTTCCCAGGATCTAGTGAAGTAGCTGTATATCCATGGAAGCCTTTCTCCATCTTTGGGTGATTGGAAAATTGTGAGCATTCTTTTCACCCTGCCATATTCACTGTCACTGTTGGTGATTATTGATCATGACCATTGACTATTGATACAGTGACAAAAGTGCTTTCTGCTGAAAACTTTCAATGCACCCTTGCAGGTTCTGTTACAGGGGATCACTTCTCCTAGACTGCAATTACGAATTATATTAAGCTTTTAATATTCATGATCCACTGAAAACCTTATCCCTTTACTCCATAAAAATGGAACAATAGCTGCTTGTATTTTTAGGGATTATCATGAGGTTTTGTTACGGTTGTTTTTTACTAAAATAAAATATGCCAAGTCTCCAAACCAGATGCCATTTTAACTTTCACAAATGGAGCAAGCACATGAAAACAAGTTGTTCCATGAAGACTGGAACCAGGAATGTTTGATTGCCCCACTTGCTTCCCTCTGATCCTCCTAATAACCAAGAATCTTCTCAACCCAGCAAGTCCCCTGTACCTCACATGCAGGCCCTTTCCCCAGATCTCCTGCAGAGACATCACTGCTGCAACACTGCAAAAGCAGGAAGTGCACAACTTGCTGCTCAGGGAACACAAACTACCACAGCACAGGATCAGGGGCATTTTAAAGTGAAATAAAGTAACTTCTCTTTTTAAATTTGATTCCCCTCTGAACAACTTACAGATATGTATCAGCACCATTAAGTTAATGTTCCATAATATGTAAGAGCTTAGTTTGAACAGGAGAAACACTTATAAATTGAATTATTCATGCTCTCTGTTTCCCTACTTCGAGTTGTCTGCTTCCATGTCTTTTCTGTTGATTTTACTTCAAGTCCCATCTGGTCCCATCTGGTTTCAAGCCTAGCTATGCTGACATTTCCAGCTACACCCTCAGTCACTTTTGCCTGAATCTCACCTCCTATGTGGAAAAAGAACACACTTGAACATTTCTGTAGGACATATACTTATTACAGGGGTGCAGTTATAAGTCGTCCTTTTCTTCTAAAACTATACATTGGGTCACCTAAGTCTTTCCAGATATTTAGCAAAGTATTTGCTCTTGCCTCCCACACAATCCTACATGACCCTGATGAGAAACAGCTCCTGAAGTTCTGGGACAGCTCTCTGGCCTCTTTTTGTTTCGTATTCTTTATGCCTTTCAACATACAGTTTTTTTCCATTACCTGCTTCTTTAATGTTTTTCTCCCTTGCATATTTTCCATATGACAAATGCATTCTCTACTTGATCATTACGAGGTCTGTATGGGAGCAATCCAAATTTTATGAGGCAGGCCTAGTTTTGGATTAGAAGTCAGAGCTACCAAAAGATTTACACCTGTTCTGATTTAGGACTTTAGTACAGGCTTTTTCAGAGCCAAGAACTTTCAAAGTATTCCTACGCAGTAGCAAGTTCAGAGAGGGAGTTTTCAGCTAGGCAGATTTATAGCTTTAAAATATATAAAATCTAGCATCACTGTCCTACCACATCCTGATGTCAAATGATTCACTGGTCTGGGACCTTTGGTCATCTTCACAGAAATTACCAGCCCAGCATACGTTTCCTCTGGTAGGGTGTGTTTCAAAGCAGGTGGAGTAGTCCAAGTTGGATTATTAGACATGAGCCACTCAGCCACATGATCAGCTTTTACAGCAAGGAATACCTATTTCCACTGTGGCTTGTAAAATAATTTTTTTTTTGGTAAATCTCTGTATAAAGATCATCAGAAGCTTTAACATTTGAATGTTAAAGGTCTCTCATAACAAATTGGGAAGACTGGGAAGACACCGAAAAGTGCAGGTAAAACATGAGAAGCTGAGGCTGGCATCTCAAGATCGTGGAGGGGAGATGCTACAAGAGGAGGGCAGACTGAATTCTGAATTCTAAAAACCTTCCGCCTACTGCTAGACATTACTCATGAGGAACATTGCTGAACTTCTGTGGATAATGATTCCCTTTCTAAGTCCTAAAACACACTGTATACCAGTGCTAGAAATAGGAAAAATATATTAGATGCTGCTCTGCTGGGTTTTTGCAACTATTCTGTCAGAAGAAACAGCGACTTGCAGATTGCTGAACACAAAATTATCACATTCAGTTCAGGGAAAGCAAAACCACAGCAGAGTCAAAGCAGTCATGGGGTTACTCTAAGCCAAGACTGGTTGCCTACCAAAGCATTTCCCAAAGATTCTTCTACCAGATGAGAATCATGATAGTTAGGTGCACTGTTCTGCAATACCTGCAGCTCTTCTGGAGTGGGGACAATTAGTTATGGGGCAATCCCAGCTTGATACTAAGACAAGATTTCAGCCATTCTTGCATAAACTACTCCTTTCTTAAGGAAACATTGAAGTCACAGTGTACCAATATTACCACTTGGATCTAGCCTAATAGCTTTATTTTATACAACATAATTGCTGAGTCATTGAAAAGGACAAGCCAAATTCATATTAGACACGTTGTAGAATAACATGTTTTCTTCTGCAGAATAAATGTCAAGTAAATATCACTTAGGACTGAAGGCAGTTGGACTGGGATGTCTGATAATTCTTGGAGCACAAACAGGGACTTCTAAAATATCAGGAATTTAGCAACATGATGGAACACTTTGGCCTGAGTTAAGATGTACATGTCATTTTTAACCATATAGTGAAATCTGACTGCTTTACACATAAACTCCATCTGGCAACGAAAGAAATGCAGGAACTGTTTGACACAAATAGACTGGTCTTTTGTCTACAAATGCCTCGACTTCTGGATTCCTGGCTTCATAGCATGCAATGCAGTGCAGCTGTGGCCAGCCCAGGGAAAGCAATGAGCTGGGTGTTATTTGAGTATGCTCTCAGCAAATACTGCCTGAGAGTTCTGTCCTCTGAATAGTTACAGTTTGACAGCTGCTATTTATTATGAGAAAAACAGCAACTGTAAAGCTGCTTGCTACTTTATTTACCTGAATCTAACCAGCAACCACGCTGCTATAGTATGAAAAGACAAATTTTTCACTTAGAACTTCTGACCCCAAATCACTAGGGACCAATTGGTCAGATTGCTGGCCATTAGTCACCAGCACATTTTTACTGTCTTGACCCCTTCCAAGATTAAGCACCATTCAAAATTATTACAAACACTATATTCCTGAAATTGGGTTAACAGAGCAGAATGCTGATTTTGCATACAAAGCTTTGCAGCTCCTACCTGTAAAGTGCTGATGTGAACAGGAGTCCCTGTGCCATTCACAGTGTTCTTCTTGGCAGCATTTCCACCCTTCCCTTCCACTTGCTCTGCCTTGGCAATCTTTGCTTTTTCAGCTTCAATTCTCTTTGGATTGTTTAGCATTACCTGAACCACAGCATATTCCACCAGGGATGCAAACCCAAAGAGAAGGCAAACAATCAACCAGACATCTAAGGCCTTCACATAAGACACTTTGGGAAGTTCAGCAGCAAGAGTGGTACATTCAGATGCCAAGCTGAGCACTGAGAAAATACCTACAAAAAGAGAAAACAATATATTGAATAAGAAAACTTCCCTTTAATGACAGTGGCTTTGCTCTTTCTCTGAAAAAGACAATAGTGAATGATGTTTTGCAACAGTGAATGGGACTTCACAATGTGGTCAGTGCAGCAGGTGTACAAAGTGCACATGCCTTCAGCTAATGAACAAGTTAAACACTTAGGTAGGGTAGTGCAGTTAATGATGAATTACTAATAATGATTACCTTCATTTTATAAGCAGAGAAACAAATAAGTGAGGCTAAACTGGTTGTTATGGTTTCCCTGTCCCATCACACATCACACAGCTGGGAAATGGGCTTTCCAAAGAATTATCTTACAATGTGCATCTAATTCTGGAAATGTGGAAGAGAAATTTATGATGCTTAAATCAAAAGACTCTAAGTCCTTTAAATTAAAATAGTATTGTCCCAGAAATCTAAACTGTGCTATAGCAGGAACAATTCTCTGAATGAGCTGCTCACAAGTGTGATATTCAGACCTTAGGTAAAAGGGAAGTTTTTGCTGATGAGCAAAGCTGTACAAGCAAATCAAAAAGCCTTTGTTCCCAATTCACTGAGAAGATGAAAACGTGGAAGTGACTGAGGGTCACAGTCATTCTCTATTTGAGCTTCCAGGATCTACAGGAAGCTTTCTAGATAAAGGGCATTTCATGAAGCCCTTATCATGAAAAAAGCCCACATGTGCAAAGGCTGTTAAAGGTCGTACTCATCACGGATTTCACCAAGCATTTCCCCTAATAAGGCTTCCAAATGTCACCATCAACACAGGATTCATATCACAAGGGACAAATACAAGCTTGACACCACAGAAAGATTTCTCACAGGCTCCTGTGAAAATAGTAGCACAAACAGCTACATTTGGAAAAAGCTAACTTTAGAAATGGCTGTCATGTAGGGGAAAACTTAGTTCAATCTCCAAGTTCAGAATGTCCCATTTTGGTTTTGTGAATGCTATAATAAATGATTATTTATGAGTGGGAGGCTTAATAAAATAGAATTGATGTCTATAAAAAATGTTGGCCAAAAGGAGTCTCAACTATGTTTCTTATAATGCATGAAAAATTTTTCATTCACAGAGATATGATTTCCGTCAGATACATTTTAAGTAACTGAGGATGTGAAAATGTAAATTAAAATGAAACTATCTGTATTGGCCTATCAAAACATTAATTTCTACTTGATCACAAACAACAGATTCTTTAGCTACTGTTCCCATTTGGATTTCAATAAGATTGACATGATATTTTATTTAGCATTGATCTCAAATTGACAATTCAGTAGCTCTTAGAACACTGAAGCATAAAGAAATGTTAACAGTCATGCGATTTTAACCCAGAAAATTTTATGATGCTTTATTTAGAAATGTGTAGTATCAATGTATCACTGCAAAGCTGAACTTTTTTTTTTTTATCTATGGGGATAATAAAGAATGACCAGATGCATTATCTCAGAACAGAATGATACAGCAAATACTGAACTGAATCCTCAGTGTAATCCTCTGGCTTACTTTCCATCTACTGTATCTGAAGCATTCACATACAAACATTCCCATTAGGATAAAAAGTGAGCATAGGATGCTTTGCTTTAAAAAAAAAAAAAATCACTTACCAACACCTGCAGACTGGGGATGAACACTAATTATGGATCACAATGAATTGCATTAACAAGTAAAATAAAACAAACATACTGCCTCTTAATATACCTGGGACACATTTGCCTGTGTCCCAGGCATGCTGTTCATTCTCTAACAGTGTACTGTACCAAGCACCATGTTTGACTGCTGAAAGGCAGCCTCTATCCTTCTCCTGAATAACTAAATTAGTCAATAACACAGACTGGCTCAATGTCTTGGATATAGTATTTTCTTCCTACTGACTTTAAAGTTTTTACTATATTAATATGTGATAATTAATATCATGACTGGTGTCAAAAACACTTGTAAACCCACTTTTTAGACCTTAAAAAACTATATCTTACAATCTTGGATTGAACTCTACAGAACTAATTTACACATTCTAGCTGAAAAGATTTTTGTGGAGCTTTTATTAACATGTTCAGTAGAGCAACTGAGGCCACAGTGACCAGTAGCTAATTTTCTTTTGAGTGGATTCCTACAATGAAAGGTTCATTTTCAAAGTCTAAAAGACTTCTACTTTTCAAGGTAAGAATAAAGTGAGACAGGAGCACAGAAATATTCTATTCAGCAACCATTTGCTGCCTGATGAATGTTGGCATGGCCTCAGAGACCCTAGTACCAGAGTGTGAGTTGCACTTCTGGCAGCTGCACTAGGTGCCTACTTATCACAATCCAAAGCTTAAGGCTCAAATGTGAATGAGGAGCATGAGTAAATAAACGGAAAGATTTGAAGTAGCTTCTCATCTAATACAATCTAGCCACTGGTACACTTTCTTGAGGCTAGATATCATTTACTTGACACACAAATGTTGATCTTGTTATGTTTCAAGGTCAAGGATCTCAAGGATGTCACTAGAAGAAATAGCTTGTTGCTCTCCTGAAACTGGAGAAAGATAAATCTTACCCCAGTGACAGTGTTTGTAACTGTCATACTAAATACTGACTCAGCTAAGGGAGTGCCAGATTTACAGGTTTTTTTGCTTTTCTGGGGATTAAGAAAAAGTCACATAGCCAGAGCAATGGCTAATATCTTTGAAAATTCATTATCTCATAAATGCTAAAGCATGAAAGAAGCCAATAAACACTTACAATGAATGAAATAACTAAACAATAAATAAGCATGCATATTTAGTTACAAAGGCACCCACATTACTTAAATCTATGCTAAGACTCCTATAAATCTAATATATCTTTAATAAGCCCATCTGGTTCACTATTTGAAGCAAGGGATTATAAAATTGGCAGAACAGCTTGGTTTTGATTCTAGTTTTCCAGTTCCTCTTTCATTCTTTTTAATTTATGCATGTGACATTTTCCCCACCTTTTTTGTCTTCAAATGTTCTCCTAAAGTTTTCTTTATAATATAAGGCAACTTTGCAACTTTTCAAGGTAAAAGATTATATTTGTTACTTGCTATGAAGCTAATACATATTGGATACAGTATTTTACAGATACAGTTACTTAGGAAGCAGTCTCAATACAGATTGAGACTCCTTTCTAAGTAACTATTTTCAAAGGTTAAAAGGAAAAAAAAAAAAAAGAAAAGGAAAGGAAAAAACATAAAAAAGGCTGCACAGGAGTCATATCCTGTGGGGGTGTAGCAGTTCTAGTGTGGGTAAGAGGTCTGTGATCAAGGCAGGCAGCCAGAGGGATACTGCAACTGCACCACTGGGGTATTGGGAAGAGGTGCACTAAACCTCCTGGGATATGGCAAAGATTTGGAAAGTATGGACTTGGAGAGAAGGGAGTGCTAGGGAAAATGGGAGCTTTGGGAAGCCAAACATGGGAAATGGAATCCAAACAGGAGAAGTGTCAGGATGCAAGACCCTGGCTCTGCATGTCATTGCACTATTGGGGTCAGCAGGTTTGGCCATGCCAGAGCTGTAATCCAGCGTACAACGCAATTAGTCAAGATAATATTGTTACTATTAAGTCAGTGTCCTGCTATTTTATAATAAATGAAGGACCTGCCTACTGTGTTGAGCTGAGCAGCATGACTGCATGAGCTTGAAGTACTCTCATGAAGTGAGTCTCTAATGAAATAAAGCCAGTCAGGTAACAGGAATGCTAGCTCTTTTCCAAATATAGTTTCTGTTAATTTTCAGAAAGACTTCTCCAACAGGTAGCTATTAAGAGCCTTACTTATCATCCTGCTTTCTTACTCATTTTTCAAATGTTGAAATCCCTGTAAAATGCATATTGCCTGTGTTTGCAGCATCACCCATGCATAGACTGATCAGATTTGTCCAGGCTGAGAGGAGTGTAGACAGGGTGCTTGTCACCCAAATGCTGGAACTACAATCAAGTGAACTGCTAATGCCAAGATGGAGTTTACAGGACTTGGAATGAGCAGATTTCAGTGAAAATGATGAGTGGATAATGGAAGTGAAGTTGCTTTCAGGGTCCAGTGTCATGTAGCCAAAGCAACTGAGAATGGCTCAATGGTGTTACAGTGGATCACAACAGTACGTGAAAACGCAGGTTACCCAGCGGGACTCTTGCAGCACTTGCATCAGGATTGATCCAAAATGACAGCCAGGATAGAACAACAATTAGCAGTGTAGGAGCATAAACACCCATCATGTAAAATCCAACTTGTCTTCTTAAAGTGAAGATTACTTCTACACAAGTGTAATAACCTTTAAAGAAATAAATGCATTAATGTTTAATGGGCTTTGCAGGTCAACCTTTGATCCATATTTCCATGTCTTTTTCTGCTTAAGGGCAAAAGTTCAATGCTTTGATTTTCTTTATAAAGAGTTTAATTAAAAAAAAATTCAAACCACAGATTTATTAAGCACCAAGTGTGGTGAGGCTGCGGTACTCTGTGCACTGTAAGGAACCCTTCAAATTTCAAAGCAGCAGGAGGCTGAAGTGACTCCCAGCTTGATGCTGGCTTCAAGATGCAGTTCAGATAAAACCAATGGAGTCTGACAGTCCTACTAGCTTAAGCTCATCTGAAGATACTACTTAGCATTAATTTGTGCAAAAGATGAATTAAGAAATATTAGTCTAGCAGGTTTAGAATTGAATGAGGTGTTCTGAATGTGACTCTAACATGAGGTTTCCCTAGTACCAAAAGTTGGCAAAAATTTCTTCTTAAATCGGTACAAACATTTTAAAAGAGACTCAAGAAAAGCTGCAAATATTGTAAACAATGAACAATGTACCAAATCTTTTAAAATGAACATCTAAAACATATAAACTTCAGAAGATGTTTAAGATGAATTCAACACAAAACAAAGTTGCAGTTACTAGATGTTTTGCTGGAGATAACAAATGCATCAAGAAGTCTGATGACCAGAAAATAATTTCTGTCCCTATTTTCACTCAATTAGAAGAACTGGAATTTCTATGTTAATAATAACAAAACAGTGTTGGAAAAAACCTGAAAACTTCAAGAACAATTTTATCATAAGTAAAAGGCATTCCTATGTTATATTACTACAACTTCAAAATTCAAATCAGACTGTATATATCAATCCAGTTGGTGAGACACTTATTTAGAAGATAGAATGTGTCAAGAAGTTTTCAATTTTCCTTCCATATTGTATCAGTTAAGTGCTGTACAATGACACATAATTGTAAAAGTGCCGTTTGGGCATACAAACATCACAACAACAAAAGTATAAAACATTAAGGACAAACATCCCTGTGTAGAAGACACTACACTGTATTTTATAGTTCATTGTTCATCTTCAGTGATCAGTTGGCTGAAAAATTTTCCCTCTATAATTTGTGAATGGATTCCAGACACTTTTACGTTTTGTTTTCAAATGAGAGATGACCTTCAAAATTTTTATTTGTTTGTGTTATGTAAGAAATGCATTCTGTATGCCTTCATTTGAATAATACTTCATCAGACAGAGTATAGAATCTATTGCCCTCATCATTCAGCTCAAAAGGACCTATTTGATCTGCCATAAAATTGATGAATAACAGGAAATTTGCAAATATAAATATTCAATGTATTGCTACAAAAGCAGCCCAGATTTGCTGACCCTCTTCCAACTTAGGTAGGTATGATAAAACATCTGTTGACAGAAATAGGCAGTAAAGATTAAGGGTTTTTGCAATTGTCAAGGAACTCCTACATAAGCCATGAAAGTCTGCTCCTTGATGCAAAACTTCTCTTGATTATCTGACAAAATTATTTAGCTCTGTGTGTCAAATCTGTTAAAAAATACCTTCAGCATATGTGTTTTCAAGTAAATAAAAAAATGGAGCATTGAAGACAGCCTTTAAAAATATTTCAGTGTATTAAATATTCAACTAACATTACTGAATGTTTTTGTTATGATATTAAATGGATGTACTGAACAGAATGGACTTGCAGTAAAAAAATTCTGAAAACTTTTCAAAATTGTTCTCTCATGTTCTTTCTTCAATGTTCAAAGCACACACACACAGAATGCGAATATTTTACTGAACATTTTGCACCGTGTCATTTGTGGTCACAAGTTGCTGAAACTTGAGAGAACACTACTGATTTTCTTTGTGTATATTTCTTAAATATTTTTCTTTAGGGTTCCTAAAAACTTAGGGTTCCTATCTAAAGCTTTTTTAGACATTTAGTTTCAGATTTAGGGCATACCTCAAAATAATCACAATAGAATATGTTTCAATTTTCTCATTTCTATGAATTTCATTGTGAAAATGAAAAATACTGATTTTTTTTTCAGTAATTTCCTTTTTTAAATAGAAACAAAATATTTTTCTCACTGCTAAGTAAGGTTTTGCCATATCCTAAATGCCATCACTGCTAGCTGCTGAATACGCTTTCAAAAAATCAGAATTTTCCTGAAGAGAGTTAATTTCTTATTATTTACAAATTATAAATCACCTGAGAGGATGAATTATGTTCTTAGGATGAGATCTCACTCATTTTGTAGTTAAAAACCAAAGCCCACTTTTATTTTCATTATCTTTTCAAATTAAGTTCTTAACTCTGAGATCTGCTAATGTTCCTTGAGATCTCACCAGGCTTGGAATCTATCACAGGAACAACTGCAAGTAACAGAGCCTCCACTTCAGCTGAACAGGTAACAAGAAACTTGTAGAGAGTCTTCAGAAGCTGCAGCACCACAGATTTCCCAGTTGAGTTTTAATGGAAGATTTATGCCCATGATGTAAAAGCACTGCCTAAAATACAGCTGCTCTTGTAGAAAATCTTGTGGTTGTCACAGAATGATTAGTTTGGATATAACTGTAGGCAGGAATCAATCAAGGTGAAAAAGGTAAATCTTTAAAAGTCAGAGTACATAAACCATTGGAAAATTTTGTGCCAACACTAAAAAAATAATCATAGGAATAAACAAATAGAGGGCTGAGGATTGCAAGCAGCTTTCAAAAATGACTGAATTTCCAGAACATTTAGAGAAAGGAAGAAGCTGCAGGATGAAGCATTTGGAATTACAGTCTAGTATTATCAGTTATGGAACAGAAGTCTAACCAGAAAATCAAAATTTACCCACTTTGCGGCAACTGGCATGATTCTGTACAAACATTCTTTCAGAATAGCTTGACATTTACAAGCAAAAACAGGAATTAAGACCACAGAAATGAAATGGTGATAATAAGATAATATTTGTAAGCAAAGCCAAGACAAACATTTAATCTCTTCTTCAACTTGGATATTTCTATATTTGAACTAGTTTGTAATGATCACATATTAAACTTACCATTATATGAACCACTCATTAGTTAAAGGTAATCTATTTTATCCCAGGAAATGTAAGATGTGGAGTGGAATATTAACCATTAACTATAAACAGTAATTGAAGGAAGCTTAGACTTTTTTTTCCAAGGCAATAACTTATATTACCTACCTGTGCCTTTGTAATACTTGGTACAGTTACCATATTCAATATCCTCCTTTTTAATATCAAACTGAGGCAGAGCAATTTTTTCTAACTGTACAGGATCTCCAGACTGCCAGATAAACCGTAAATCATCAGTTGTGTAACCAACTACAAGACAAAACAATAATAATAACAATAATTGTTTAAAGATCCACCTCAATCACGGCAAACTCTGCAAGTAAACCTAGTTACAAAGTATTGTATAACTTTCAGTCTTTTTCTTTTTATTTCCTGTTCAAATAAATAAATAAATACAAAAATAATCCGCAGCTGCATTTTTATGTGGGCCGAAGTTGGGACTTAGTGGGTGAAACATTACATTATCAGCAGTATTAGGATGACTAAGAGGTATTTGTTACAGGGTGTACTTTTCACACAAAGAAAGCAAAGCTGTATTTTCCACAGCTTTCAAGCCTCCATATTCATTCATACTCCATTTCAGCAAAATATGAAAAAGATTAATTTTAAACAGCATTTATGAATCTGAGTAACTTCAAAAGAATTTAACAACTCAATTACTGTGATAAATCTTGGTGTTTGTGTAAAACAACCACACTGCTTATTTTCTTGGACTAAAAGCCCTGATTCATGGCAGCACTGCCATTCAGGAAATACTTGCCCAGGAATTAGGGCAGATGTGCAATCCTACAGAAATCAGCTCAGTGTCTTCCTGACCCACTAAGTACAGACAGAACTCAGCAAACCTCTGAGTGCCCAAATCATAATGTATACACCACCACCAAGTGAGAGGCAGTGCAAGTTAGACTCACAATATTCAAGAATGAAGCAATATTGATTAAATATGCATAATCAGAATAATGATTTACAAGCCATTTTTTGCTACCTTCTGTTCATTAAAGATTAACTTAATTCAAACAGAGATAATGTGTGTTAGATGGAAACACAGATGAGGAAACATAAAAAAGATGGAGTTGGAATGCATCATTTTGCAATTCAAAGCCTGAGAAAAATGTTTAAAGAGCCACTGTTTCTGGAGGCATTAGATTAGTCTTTTTAATTTTTGAAAAACAGCTGTGATTAAGAAAGTGAAACTGTTCATAAATGATGTATTTATGATTCACAATAATTTAATAAAATCACAATGTTTCAAAGCTTCATAATATAATATGCTATAAAAATTGTTTTAATGTTTCATTCACAAAATCATTTTCACCCCATTCCAAAACACAGCATATCAAAAAACTGCCAAGATCCTTTATGATAACAATTACTGGAGAGTGAAAATTGTGTCTATAGAGAATATGTAGAACTGGGGATTATAACTGTGGATATGAGAACATCTTAGTAACAACTGATGGCCTTTTTTGATTTAGAAATTTAGCAAGTAAAAACAAAATAGTGATTTGAAAATAACCTAAGAATAAAACTGCCAGTGGCTAGAAGGGAAAGGACACATAGGAAGTCATGATAGGAAGGACAGATAGGAAGTCATAGGTACCTTTCTTACTTTTGATAACTGAATTAAAAGGTAGAAGAAAGTTTAGTGCACAGTCTTTTCAAAGAACCAAATTCCCTGCATTTTAGTATATCATCTTAGCATGATTCTTTTTAACGAGTAGTTTCTCCTTGCATGACTATACCTTTCAACACTTGTAAAGTAAGTGGACTGGCTGGATTTAGAAATCTTAAGTGAACTTCTATTAGTATTACTAATTCCAGTTTAGCCCCAAACTGATTTGGGTTTTTCGTAAGAGTTTACTTCAGCTAATGTACATACATAGTATTCATGAACAAAATTACTATGGGCATACTAAAATTCTAGAGATAAATGCTGACAATCAAAACCTAAATTGTAAAACTCTATTATTACTATTTTCATAACTATTATTATTATTAGCCTTGTCCATAGTGTGATTCCCTGCCCAGCTTTGGCTAACCTTACTTTTTTTCCACTTGTGACTTCCTTTCCCTAGCCTCACCTTTCCCACCAGACCTGCTGGAGTAAATGTTGAATGAGTTTATATGTTACAGCAGGAGCAGACTGGAACAAGTCACCTTCCTTCTCTATGCTTCATGCTCATCCTTATGCAAGAAAACAGAATTACCACAAAAGTGAGATCACCAACAATTAAACTGGTGGAAAAAGCTGTGGTTGAGTAGACACCTGCGTATTTGGGGCACGGAAAGGAAGATGGATTTCAGAAACATCTTGTCTGCAACTTCCAGCATGGCATGAAACCCTTCAGAGATGTGACCTGTCTGCCCTGTTGTAAGATTAAATCACCTGGAGACCAGGAATAGATGCCTGACTACATCCACAACACATCCGGAAACCACTTTCAAAAGGTTTGATACTAAATGATCTCACTGCTTTGGCATCAAATGCTTTTCCTTTGGTACTGTATCAAAGGAGTTCCAAACAATACCAATGTATCATCAATGCAGGTGGATAAATTGGGCCCCAAAAACCTACAAAGCAGCACAGGTTGTGGAAGTTAAATCCACCTGGCAAAACCATTCTTTTTTTCCCAATAATATGTTTCCATTTATCTGGGTTTATTGTAAATGCTTTTATAAAAGGTGTCAGTTATCATTCTGGTTGATAGCAAAAGCTAAAACTAAGAGTGCACAGTGCCATAACATTAAGAAACCTCTCTGATAGGGAAATGTACATTGGTAAGAACCAGTGAGTATCAATTTCATGATTCATTAAAAATGTTGAGATGAAGTAAACAGAATTAATAATTTTTGTTTGATTCTCATGCATGCCTAGAAGAGGACTGTTTTTATGGACAGAGTGATTTACATACAGCTTTCCAATTGCATCTTGCAGCGCTGTGTATCCATAGGAAACAAGGTCAAGTCCAAAGGGCATGACAGTGTAATAGACAATCTGAAAACATAGAAATGATATTTAGAAATGGCGTGAGCTGTAAGGTAAGCAGTAGATGGCCAGGCGAAAGAAAAATCACAGAAGATTTTCATCTTCTAAAAGAGCAGAAACGAATTTTAGAAGTTATAATTAGCAGTTTGCTATGGAGATCTCTTTAGTATAAAATAAGACAATACAATTTTATAGAGGGTTTTAAACATTAGAAGCTCACAAATTAGAGAACTACTAATAGAAGACAAAATACACATAGGTAATAGAATAACCAAACCAAATGTCCACACAGAACAGAGTCCTGTCTCCAGCACTGGCCAATGACAGACTTCTAAAGAAGAATATGACACTACGGAAATCTGGAAATGTTATTTTGCCAGACATCCAGCAGCATCCAAAAGTTGCACCTCAAGGGCTTCCGAAACCAGAAGGGATTCTTGAGTATTTAAGGGATGTCAACAGATTTTTTGTCTCCAATAAGTTGTTTTGTTTTTAGTTGCTTTCTGAAATCTAGGTGTCCTGGTTTCACCTGGGACAGTTAGTTTTTTCCCCTAGTAGCTGGCACAGTGCTGTGCTCTGGATTCAGTATGAGGGTAACATGGATAACACACTGATGTTTCTGTTGTTGCTGAGTAGTGCTTACCCGAAATCAAGGACTTTTCAGTTTCCCATACTCTGCCAGTCAGCAGGCACACAAGGAGATGGGAGGCAGCAGGTAGTGAGCAACTTCTTATTACAATTAATATTAGCAAAAATACATTTATTTTGTTCTAATTTGCTGCAATCTTTAAGGGGTTCTTGACCCACAACTTCTATGTCCTTTATTTTCCTGCTTCTCTCCCCTGTCCCACTGAGGCCAGGAGGAAGCGAGTGAATGGTACTTAGGTTCCAGCTGGGGTTAAACCCTGACACCACATAAAGTTTAATATGCACAGCATTTTGCAGCAAAGAATGCCATAGCTAAGCTCCACACATTCTAATCATACATTTTTACCTATCCTCAGTCTGTCTCATAGTTCTTTCACTGTAAAAGAAGGCAAAAAATCAATGTTCATCCATTCTCCCTGTGCTATTTGTGATTTAGAGACCTCTACAGCACCACCTCAATTATTTTGCTTTTCCATTGTGAAAAGTTCATCCGTGCTCAGCTGTTCCGTACCTTTGACTGTCCTTGCCTCCCTCCCTAAAGCTAGAAGTCCAGAATTGCATTCAAGATATAAGTATAGCATACTTTTATGCACTGGCATAACTTTAATCCCTAATACTTCCAAGAATTCAATTCACTTTCTCAAATAGTACTGAGCTATTAGCTGATATTTTCAGAGAACTATCCATTACTACTCAAAGCTAATTTTTTTGGCTGGTAATAACCAACTCTAGATCAATCGGGCTTTATGTGAAGTTAAAATATTTTTTTTTTTCTCTCATGCATAATTTCTAGTTGTTTACATTGAATTTCATCCATACTTTGTTATTTTTTTTGTCTGGTAATAACCAACTCTAGATCAATCAGGCTTTATGTGAAGTTAAAATAATTTTTTCCCTCATGCATAATTTCTAGTTGTTTACATTGAATTTCATCCATACTTTGTTACCTAGTCATTAGATTGATTTGTGGTTGTCACTGTTGTCTCTTATCTTTACTGTTCTGCATATTTTGGTATCATCAAATGCACTTGCAAATTCAGTTTTTCAGATGATTTATATTGAAAAGCATAGAACACAAAATAGATTTTTTTTTTTGTGGGAGTCTACTGTTTACTTCCCTGTGAGCAGAGGAAGCCTGCTCACATCAGTTTACTTCTGATGTGAGCGTGATTTATATTGAAAAGCACAGAACACAAAATAGATTTTTTTTGTGGGAGTCTACTGTTTACTTCCCTGTGAGCAGAGGAAGCCTGCTCACATCAGTTTACTTCTGATGTGAGCAGATGTTTATTCCTGCAATCAGTTTCCTAATTCTTAACTATTTGTGCAAGAGCTTTCTCTCATACATATTTTGCCATGAAACTATATTGATAACTGGAGATTCTTTCATTTATATGTGATAATATCTCTGTAAACTACAAACACAAGACATAAAAATTACATCTTTTAAAAATATCACCAAACCACAGACCCTAAAAAAATTCATCTTACCTGCATACATATAATGTAAGAAAATAGTGTGCTACTAAAACACAGTATTTTTAGAGAATGACAATAATTTCTAACTTTACTGAACCTGGCTTTTTTATTTGCAAGTTTTCAGAGAATAATTTTTCCATCAGAAACACTTCCATTAGTATTCACTCAACATTCAATAATCATTAACACTACCTATGGAGCTCATTTATAAACACCTGCAAAACAGAAAAAAATATGTAGAAAATATTTCAGTGTTTCATTTAACATTTGCTCTTTCAAATGGGAAACCTCTTTTGCAACTGGAAGTTATTTTCTACTTTGAAATATTAATTTCTACACACTTCAAACAACAGAAGCAGCTGAAATCAAAACCAAGATCTTCAGAGCAAGCCAAATGAAATGTTTTGACTGCCCAATGTAATTTCTTCTCTGATCACTGCCAGCAACAGTCTTGAAACTGATTTTTCTCATCCTCTTTTGAAATTGGAGAAAAAGAACGCCAACTCTTTAATATTGTTTCTCCTTTTTTCGATCAATTTCTACTCCAGGAAGAAATAGCTCATGTAAACCTAGCTTCTTTTTCTTATCTTTAGATATCTTTATAATTTTTTATTGTCTTTAGATAATAAAGAAAAATTATCTAAATATACTGCGATTTTACCTCTTAAAGGTAAAGTTGCAGTATATTTAGATAATAATTTTTGTCTATCAGGGCAATATGTTACAGAACATACCAGAAGAAAATTCACTTACTGCTAGAAAATTTAGCCTAATCTCTGAAAAGTATAAACTATAAACTCTCCATGTCTGTAATTCACTATAACCTTCTTTTTAATGAACTATTTTTCTGGTTTAAGTGGATGACTATTTTTGTGGCATTGTGTATACATTTGATAAATTAAGTCAAACCGCCAAAAAAGGATATGTCAATTGCAATTAAATTGAACAGAAATTTGGAGGCTTCTGAAAAAAATTATATCCAGTAAGGTATAGAACTTAATCAGGAGTTTTTCACAGTACTTTTAGAAAACATACATATTCACAAATTTTGTAATTTATGCCTTTCTCTATTTCTTCAGCAAGTAATCATTGTTTACTTCAGTTGCTGTAAAAATTCAAGTAGTGTTTTTCATATACTGTTTTACTGGAGGCTGTATTTCAGATCTATTATCTACTCCACTATGCTTCTAGGAACCTAAAAAATTATCAAAAGGGTTTGAATTTAGTTAGTTCAATGTGTTAGATTAACAGGTATATGCACTTCAAATTTCTCACACTTGCAGTGCTATCATCTGATTTCTTTATGCATAATTTATTGCAGCATTGTTTAGAAACTGTCTAATATAAATTTAAATGTTAGTAATAAATTGTATTACATTACTAAGGCTAATACAGAATATATATTTAATATAAAATCACTTTAAAAAAAACAGCGGAAACAAATAAATAAAATACCTCATGCTGACTAGGACATCTCCATCCCGAAATATAAAAAGGAGGATATTTTCTTGTGTGACATCATGGAAATTAGCATTTTTTTCATTTGCAAAGAATAAGTCTGGCTTCCAAAGACATTTAAACATAGTTGGGTCCACTGTCAGTGTATCTGAACCTCTCCAGTCATTGGGCAGTTTGAGTCTGGGGTCATTCCACTTCTGTCTTAGAAAGATGTTGACTCTATAATCCTGATTGGAAGAATAAACAAATATTAGATTAGCCAAAAGTCTAGGAAAAACACCACAGAGAAATAAAACAATTCCATCAGATTTGGAAGAGAAAAAAATTATGCCCTGATTTTTCTACCACAAAGACAGTAATCACTATTCAAATTACATTACGAAGTATTATGTTTAACAGACTTTACTACAAACAGATTACATCTCACTCATGGTTTTGAATACAGCAACTTTCCTTAAACAAAGGATCAAATTGCCACTCCAGAGTCATTTTTGCATCCCCTCAGTAAAAGCTCCTGTTACCCAGGCACAGAGAAAAGCATGCAGCAGGGCAGAGGCCACAGCTTGACTATAGCTTCACACTAAATGGCTGCAGGCAGCAGGCATGATATCACTTCTTTCAGGATATCCTGTGAGTGCCAATTCCAGTTTACTCTTCATTTGGCTGTGGCACACTGATGGTAAAATATCACACTCTAAAAGCAGAAAACAGACCATGTAGGTAATAGATTTTATACTACACACTCAGAATACAGCCTCAGACCTTCTATCAGTGATCTGGGACTATCTTGGTAACAGGAAAACTGATGTCAGCTTGCAACATAAGTACTGAGGTAGCAGGTATGAAAGGAGAAACAGAATCAGCCTCAAAGTGACAAAATCAGAAAATCTCCTTTTGAAGTCAGTAGGACTCTGGCTGAAGGAAGGACAGTAGTAGGGCTGTGCTCACTGAGAAGAGAATCAGTCTCAAAGAGACAAAATCAGAGGAAATCTCCTTCTGAAGTCAGTAGGACTCTGGCTGAAGGAAGGACAGTAGTAGGGCTGTGCTCACTGAGAACCTAATTTTGCTTTTGGGAATCGGAGTAGCACGTGTCTCGGGGCAAAATGATACCCTGCACGTGTTCTGTGCTTAGTGAAAGCTGTGGGCATCCAAAGGAAGAATCTGACCTAGAATGTCAGCTAAGATTTTTCAGTTCTTATCCCTAAGTCATTTTGGTTTTTACATTTATATTTAATCCAGTGCCTCTTTTTGATATATATGTAAACTAGGCAGATCATATACAGAGAAAGAATAAATTTATTGTTGAAAAAAAGTTAAACAAACCCAAACAAATGAATGAAAATTCTGTATGTAAGATTGTTTCTATCTCCAGTCTTCCTAGTTGCCTTCTGTAAAGTGCTTTGTTTTTTCATAATTGTCTACTATGTACAAAGCCTCCTCAGAAAAGGGTTGTGTCTTTGAGAGCAGTGAAAACACTGCGACTGCTCTACAATTATAACAAAATGCTAGTAATGTGGTAGTGAAGGTTCTCGACATAGTTTTGGTTTGTCAATATCTGCATACAAACAAATTTTATAATGTTTTTTATTCTCCATGTCAATGAGTCTTACACATTTTTTTGTTGATACAACTGAATTATCTTCTGCTATACTTACTACATTTGCACTCCAAAGCAGGTGCCATGTTGAGACAGTCATCCTAACTTCAACCAGAAGGAGTCCACTTGGCTAAGACCTTATGCAGAATAATTTATTCTGTTGATTTGCTCTGTATATTTAAATAGAGTGCCCACTTTCCCATGTCCAGTCCACCAGTCAAATTAGCCCAAGTATTGCTTTATTACACTATACTGTGTAATATTTTTCCTTACTGCATTGTAAGGAAAAGCAAAGCATCAAAACTAAGTACTTGTTACTTGTTGGTAGTTGATTTTGGAAAAAATATACATAGTCTGACTCTTATTTATACAAAGATCTATGCTGTCTTGCCAAAGAAAAGAAGCAAAAAATTAAAAGGTTAATATGAAGTGAATTTGTACTGGAAGGCTCTCATATAGAAGCTTCATAATTGGAGGGAATTCAGGCCATTATCTCAGAAAGCATCTTTTCAATTATATGCATATAATTGAAAATTTATTTTACTTGCTTCTTGCTGAAGTTCCCATTCCATATGCACTTCTTGTCTCAGTGAAAAAAAATACTCGAAATCATATGAGATAAATACTGCATACCATTCATGCTCACAAGCATTACACTATTGGTTACACTGAATTACATTTCCCCATAAACAAGTATATTACCCTAATTTTAAACAAAATAAGATGCCTTCTCAAAGCCATAGGCAAATGATAAGCACTTTTAAACACTTGCCTTCAGCTTACCCATTCAGTAGAAGGAGATGCTTACATCACTGAAAAGCAGAATGCACTGGCAAAATAAGAATTGGAAGTAACATCAGGTGGATGCTACTTTATTTCCTTCCTTTCTTTATTACAAATGAACTTAAATACCAAACTGTCAGATGTTTTGACATTTTAAGAACTTGAGTCTGTTCCCATTTAACTCAGAGAAAGAAGAATCCCATTAATCTTAAATGGGGAGGTTCAGGCCCAAAGTAGAGATATTGACAGGGATACTTGGAGAGGAAGGCCACCATGTACTTGAGACAATACAGAGAATGTAAAAAGAAGCAAAGAGATATCACGATACAAAACTGTGGCTAGCCAGACAACAACGTGCAAAAGGGCAGCTTCTTAGAAGAGCATGCACCCTTACAGCATCTGGCAGCAGTAAAGACTATGATCTGGTATAAATTGATCTTGAAAGAAGTCTGTAACAAGTCCTCTCAAATTTGTACAATGAATTTTACGATTCAGTTAGTGTATTCAAATTAGGTTGAACAGGGGCTGAAGAAGCAGTCTGCAGGGAGCACATGGTCTTCCTGGTGTACATTTTATATATGTTTTTTTGAATTTCCAGAATGATTGGCATTTTATAGTAAAGGAGATCACATAGCAACTAAAAAGCCTGAAACTAGGGGAAGAGGATGGAAGAGACATTCATCAACATCAGAGCTAGGAGGACCTGTCAGGTAGAAGGAAAAACAGAAGTATTCTACAGGGCTTTGCTTTCCCATGTAACTCCAACAGAAGACAAGCAGTTTTCAGGGAGGTTGGGAGGCATTCTAGGAAATATTTCAGAAGTCTACTAAATAGTGGCATGTGGCCAGAAAACCACCTCAGGCCAGAAAGCAAGCAGAGCCTATACATATCTCTGCAAAACAGCACACATAGAAGATCATGAAAGACTAACTACATAAACTGCACTCATACAAAGAAAGGCAACATAATTGTGCTTCCTTTTAATGAAGTCGAAAGTCATTTTTAAGATTAAAATAAGGAAACTGAATGTTTTTTATAGTCATGAATACTAAAAAGACCTTTCTGTAAGATTTTAAAGTAAAGGAGAAGGAAGAACTGGTGTTCTGTTGCTTGAGTCAGTGAAGAAAGGTCACACTGCAAGCAAAAACCTTGAACACAGATTTTGTAGATAGAAAGTCAGATCATCACAGAAAAAATATTATAGTCCTATGGGTATTTATACCAGAAACTCTCTATCCCTAGGAATCCTTGACTGGTCATCCAGTTTAAAACTGTTTCTACATGTGACATAATCACCATATTATACCACAAATCTGCAGTCTCAAAATACGTGTGCAAACTCAGAAGCAGAGTTAACATGGGATCCTTGACAAGTGTTCTAACAATAGAGAAGGAACAAGTTACAGGATTCAGGATAAAGGGACCTTACTGGAATGTAGCAGCTCTGGCATTTGCTCTTCTCCTTTTTATCTGTACAAATTCTGATTCTCTCTGTAGTTCACTAGTTCTTTTGCTTAGTTTTTTCCAGGAGACTTAGTTAATAAGTGTATGGAAGCACTGCAATTCTCTACAATATTGAACAACACAACATGAACATTATCCTTTCTAAACACAGAGCAAACATCTGCCCTTCAGATTCTTCACAAAGGCTTGATTAGAGTGATACAGGATTCTGGGCATAAGATGTAAAATGGGTATTCTCTTGCTTTAAAACAAAGTAACTTCAATGATTTTCTATAAAGAAATTCCCTCCTTTCTTAAATCTAAGTGCACTATACCTCAGAAGGCGCTAATCTCAACTCTTTGTTGAGGATGAGCCAACTGCATAGCTAAGAATATAATTATCACAGGGCCAGAAGGACAGCAAGCAAGGCCTTCTCTCACTGTCACTCTACACATTTGTTTATTGGACTTTCTACCATAACCTGTCTTCCAGTCATCTGGTACCCATTGTTACTTTTCCCCACACTTCCATCACAAAAAAGAAGGAATTATTGCTTTAGCATGGCTTTACCCTCACATAGATTTTGCAAAAATTTATGAGTTCAATTATTTCAGCCAGCAGTGGCTAGAGAGAAAAGCATCATCACAATAATTCATTGACTGAAAAGCTTAGAAATATATTTATTTCAAAATTTTGATAATACTCCAACCAGTTTAGTAGCTTCTGGTAATTTTAGAGACAGTCTATAAATCAATACTCCTCATGATTCTCACCCGTGCCAGAGACAGTAGAGATGTAGCCAGCCACTCCCTTCTCCAACACCAAGGAACCGTTTCAGCAGTTCTGGTGCTTCTGCAAATGTCTCCTTTCTGAACACAAGAGTCCCCTCTGATCCTTCACAGACTTGGTGCCTCACCTCCAGGAAATATTTTTCCTGTGATTCCAGAAGCACAAGTCTTTTCCTATTCTAAGCGATCCATTTCTACTGTCCGGTGTATTTCCCAGTCCATTTGAAGACCAGTATAAACCCATCCCCAAGAGAGAAGTGATTCCTGAATATCCAGTGCCCACTGCAGCAGGAAGAGTTTTCTAAATAATACATGGAACAACAGATTGACTGTTAATTTTGTCAGTGTTTCCTGTATTACATTAAAGCAATCAAGAAGTAATCCAAATTTGACATAAATATGCTTAGCTATCATGGTGATCAGCTAGACAAAGAAGTCTAAATGAAAGCATAAAATAAAGTAAAGAAGGTGTCTGATAGTCTGAATTACAGAGGAGAGCATGACTTATCATACAGCACATCTTAGTAAATTTGTGAGTGACCATATCAGGAAGGCACAGACAGGTATACATACATGGCTGTGGAAAGCATACTTCTTTTTTTTTGGAGGGGCTGGGGGGAAGCAAATCTCTCACATTCATCTTTTGTTACTATATGAATCTGGGTGAATTGTAAAAAAGCCTCTGTAAAAGCCACTTTTCAAAGCATGCAACTGATTAAAAAAACTTGAAAGGGCCATCTGGCCCAATATACTTCATATCTTAAGACACTTATCTCGGTCCTACTTTTCTGCTCTTCCACCCTGCTCGTCTTTAAATTTGAGTCCTCTTTTTGTTTTCACAAATAAATCTTGTGGCCTTTTGGGCAAACTTACATTTTTTTGTTTTAATGTCACTTCCCACTAATGGCATTCGTTGACTTACTATTATTTGCAATCAAACATAAATCTCTACTAGCTAAAGAAACAGAAATTTCTGGCCAAGCTGCTTAAAACTGTTCCAGCCACCATTTATGTTCAATTTGGAGCGGCTCTGCAGTCCTATTGAAATTTCATTAGGGTGACCTGTAAGCTGGTTATGAATTTGAAGTGGGCACTTACTTCCAACAACAACAAAAATGTGTTTTATTGCTTATTTGGTGGTATTGTGGTTTACTTCTTCTCTGCCATTATGTGTCAGAATGCTGCCTTAGTCACAGCATTAAAAAAAGCAACTTGATTTTGGGAACTGCCTCAATGCTTCAGATGCAGCAGGTCACTAAAGCAATCAGGGAATGCCTCAGAACTCCCACTCAGTGCATGCCTTGGCTGAGGCTTCCATGTACTGGCATGACACGGTGCACTCCCCTCTTTTTTACACAAAAGGAAAACCTGATAAGGTCAGAACATCTTCAATAACTAAATGCATTTTTTGGCAATATTTTTGATAGTATTTTTTGGAAACACCATGACAAAAAAAGACCTGCAAGTCCCAAAATACCAGAAAGTTCTTTGCTGAAGCAACTCATATTTTGAAACTGATTTTATTTCCCAAAGAAACAAAAGAAGTCAAAATTGCAATGAGGATTATTTCATCCTGTTATTGACATATTGAAATTTTCTAGCTGAACTGGAAACACATTTTTATAAACTTCGCTCCCCAGTTTATGTTTCCCATGCAGTAAATAAACAGCAGTAAGGCTATGGTCATTGATAGTCTATTCCTTTACTACTCTTCCTTGTATTCCATCACAATTTATTTACATCTTCAGATCCACATAAAATAAAGAATCTATAAATTTCATCCTTATGCATCTGTTCTTTTTCTCTCATATACAGTCTTAGTTGTTAGGGTTTTTTTGAATAACACACCAAGCAAACTATGTAACAACTCTCATGAAGATCTTCAACTCATACTGTCCAATGGGTTCTTCCAATGAACTTAATAACCTATGGAAATTAGTCTAGCTCTTGCATCTTAGAAACCATGGATTTCCTTTCATGTAAATCAGATTCTAAAGCTACAACAATCTGTGGACACTTACAGAGTGAAATACATTAATAGGTTTGGATCTCAAATATTTCTATTTTATAGTTCATAATCCTCAGCCTGAAGTTTGATTTAGTAAGAAAATCTCCATGTGCACTACATGAATTTAATTTCACTCTTACCATAGTTGTCTCTTGAATTGACCCAAAGCTGTTAATGAAGATGTTAACTGCAACGTCGACTGGAATTCCTTTAAAAAAAAAACAATTCTAGTGAGCTACACAATCCAGTAAAGGTACATTATCCTTCATTTAAAGCTCCAGTATCATAATGTCACAATGTAACTTTAAGTTAGTGTATATATAGGTATCAAAGTCAATAGAAATCACGAAACGACTTTTTAACCTAGTGATAAAAAAGGGAAAAATAAAAATCCTTAGTCCAGAGAGCTAATCTTACAGAATTCCACAGACCATATATCTAAATTAATAGTATTGAATTTCATGATTTTCTGTTATCTCAGAATGCATAAGCCAGTATTACATTTGCACATAGTGTAATGGATAGAAGCAATTCATATTTCTAGCAGCAGCCACTTTTAACTGTCAAGGTCATAATGACACACTATCATCCCAAATTACCTGTTTATGATTTATGATATTTCCTTATGCTTTAAGAAGACACCTTCTTGTGCAAATAAAGTACATAAGCCTTTACCTGCCAGGCAGGTAAAAATTATTGCATGCATTTTTCACAGCTATCTAGCCTATGTATGAAAGAGTTGGAAAGCTGCTCAATTTCACAATCGTTACCAATTAACCAGGAAAAATTTCTAGAAGTCAGAGCTGTGAAGATATTAGGACGGCCTCGATTTTTTTCTCTTTTCCACAGCCAGGATTCCTGTAGTTGAAGAGGGATGGTATGACAGCTGCTACATCTGCCCTCTGTCACCCTGCGGGAACTGATTGGCAGTAATTTAATCTGGTGTTAACAGAGAGTTATCACAGAGTGAGGAGAAGTGACCTGATAGTTGAGAGAACTAATTATGGACTTTTATTTAGTACCTCTGTGGTGTCAGTGTCAGGATGTCCACTAGATGCAGGTATATCATTTACACTGTTACAAATACTCTTCCTAATTTCAGCAACAAAAGAGCTATAAGAATATATGAATACTGTTTTGACAGACTAAGCAAATACAGTACAAAGTTATATATGTTTCTTTCAATAGCATGTTTGTCTGCATAAAATATTTTTATGCAGCTTTAATACAAAAATTCAAACTCATTCTCCTGGTCGCCAGAAATTTATGAAGATAAAATTTCACTTTCTCAGTTAAACCAATTTGTTTGGTTTGGTTTTTTAATCAGACTACTTAAGTATGATGCTTTTGCTTATACAATGAGCACAGTACTTCTTTTAATGCCTGACACATGTGACAGAGCACCCATCACATCACTAGTAGCCAAGAGTGCACTCTCTCTTCCAGATTTGAATAGGATGTGCCATCCAAGAAAATCACTCATGTGTGAGGAACATTTTAACATGGGCAAACCACTTGTCAGAAAATGTTCTTTTTCTTCCACCTTCCCCTGAGTTAACATTACATGTCCTCCCTTTCCCTTCTGTCTTGATTCTTACCAGACTGCCAGAAGGGTTATCAAAAATATAAAGAAATCTGCACCATGCTTTGTGATTACAAGCTGATTATGCTGAAGAACAGGTAGAGAAGAGGCTGGACATTTATTCTTTGTGACAAGACAGTGCTGAAAACATATAAATATGGTTCTACAGAGAATAAGAAAGAAGCAGCACACTTACTGAGAACTAAACTTAATAGGTTTATAAAACTGTTAAACAGAACTGAAAATAGCCTCTTCAAAAGCACAATAAACATTTAAGATTTCCAAATTTTTCATACTAGTGATATTCATGTTAAAATACCTCTTCATGCTCATATAATTATATGAGGAGTTTTAAAATGAAAGAGCTGTTTTATGTAAACTGCTTTATCTATATGTAATAAAATTGTCTACATCTTTTTAGTAGTACATTATTTACAGAAGGTAAATAATCTAATTCCTGAAAAATCTAATTTACAGCCCAACTTGTGTGAATTCTTAGAGGCTTAGTAGAGAATATGTATTTCAACTTTTTCTTCTCGTGTAAGGATTCACACACTCTACACAGAAGCATCCTGCAACATCTGACTGCCAGGGAAATGTTTTAATGGCAGAAAATGTGTTTCAATGCATTACCTATATGAATTCCTGAAGTGTGTAAGCTTTATAACTAAAATATCTTTAAATAATTTAATAATTGTATGGTTTGCTAACAGTGATACTGCTGACCCCAACTTTTTATAGTCATCTTAAAGGATGTCTATATAGAAATCTGGTGGTTTAAAATGCTGTAAAGCACAGTCTAACTAAAACGTAGGGATAAAAATATATTTTTGAAACTTATTCTATAAATTCTATTTCTACACTTAAAAAGTCTCTTATAAAATAAGACCAATAGTAATAAAGATCACATAGTATTATAATGAAATCCTAACCTGTTATTTTTCAGCTCAAAAGGATAAATATCTTCTGCAGTTTCACACTGTCTAGGAAGGCTTCCATTAAAAACAACAACAACAACAACAGAAATTTAGTTTGTGAGTATTATATCTACATATTTTCTCTCTGTGTGAAAAGAATAAAAGTTAAAATCCAAAGATAAAAAAGGCTGAAATATCTGACAAACCTTTGAAATTAGGCCTTATCCTGGGATCATAGCTGAGCAATAGTCTGTTCAAGATATTGCTGGTAGAATTAGCAGGTACTCTTGCAAGGTCTTCAGCTGATTGCTGCCTGTGAAGAAAAGTTCATTAGTTACTACTAAGACAGAAATAATTCCATGCTTAAATTGAAGTGATTTTAAAGTAATGCCATAAATGTCATTTCACAAGCAAAAAATGTCCGTTATTTACAGGTGCCATACTGTATAGTCTTCCTTTCCTTGAGAAGTTTCAGTAGTTTTCAAGAAACTACTTCTGTAATAAACACAAATGCTCTGACATACTGTTAACTGCAAACTTGGAAGCAAATAAACTGCGATTTGTTCCCTGCAAATTGTCCATAATTGTTCCTTTCCCTCCAAACAAAAATATGCAGAGGGACATGCTTTCTTTCATCAGTAGAAAGCAGCCACCTGAGCTATTTTTAGTGACTGTCAGCTTAGGAACCTTAGTAAATTGACAGCCACTTTGTAAGTGCCAAACCATGCAGAGGCTTTTGGCAGTCTCCTGCTCTCGCATGCCAGTGCCAGCTATTCCACCCAGAGCTGGAGGATTGCATAATCTCTTTGTCAAGTGCTAATAAAAGCTTTACTACAGAAAACAAGGCCTTGGACTCTCTGGTTTTGCAGGGGGAATTTAAACATCTTCATTACATTGCCATTATTGTGCTGGGTGTTAAATGAAAACATTGCTGCAATCATAAAGAACCTGTGACAGGTAAAAGAGTACATGAAACTGAGTGTAATAAAAAGAAATACGGGTGGTCAGTGCCCTCCCCAGGTATTTTAAACACCAAGCAGGCTCATAATGGTATGCAAATGAATTTCTATGTTTCCAGAACCTGTTCAGTGACTGTTTCAGTTTTGAATTCTGTCTCATAATCATTTTTCCATCCCTTTTATGATTACTTTGCTGTCTTTCTGTCATTATGATTCAGTAACCAGGATGCCATGTAAAGATAAGAGAAACACCCTACACAGGTATAATTCATATGCATCAACATTATCACCTCTTGCAAACTAATGTACAAATGTATTTTGAAAAATAATCAAGTTTATTTCCTTAATATTTTCCATAATCAGCATAAGCTGCTGTTGCCTTCTTCACCCTGTAATTTCTTTTTTTCATTATTGTCTCCTATACCAATGTCAGTTTGACATGTTATTCTGTATAACAGCTAAGTTTTTTTTTTTCCTTCTCATCCTTTAGTTTCCTTCATGTTCTCTGGAATTTATGCCTTATTAAATATTCTTTGAAGAAAACAATAACTCTACAGAAGCCTTTTTACCAGTTAAAAAAAACAAACAAAACCAACAACAAAAACCCCACATGAATGTATTAGACCTCCTGATTTTAGAATGCCTAATTATGGTAGCTCCTGTTCAGCATTTTCCTTATTTATTACTGGGAAATTAATTAATTAATAAATGCCAGCATAGCATGACACCAGTATTTAATTGAATACTGGAGATAAGACCAGAGCCTAGCCCTTGAAGAGCTCTTATTAATAAACTCACCTTTAAAAACAACTGGTTTAACTCAAACCATAAGGGCAAATGGAATCAGATCTACTGACTTGGTAGACTCACTATGCCTTCCCAAAGAAATCTAATCTTCTCAGTTAATATTTGAAACTAAAACATTTGTAAATAAAACTACGAAGGAATTCCCTATTTCCTATTAAAAACATGTCAACCATTTATGAAAACACAAATGCATTTTATTCTATCATAGTCTCCTTGATACCCATTGAGCATTTTATTGTTCAGGGAAAAGAAAATCAGATTTCTGTTTTCTTTGTTGTATTCAGGATATTTCTGAAACCTAAAGCTGCATATCTGCTTAGCTATTTTCTTGTATTTGCTTGATGTTATAAATGAGGAAAAAATTATGGCAATAAAATGGCACTAAATCCTCCTTGAAATTTTGACTACCAAACAGTAATTAGCAGGATAAGTATGCATTCCAAAAACTGCACAGCAATGTACCTACCAAGAAAAATGCATCCAGGAGGATATCTTAAACTATAACATACAGGAAGAGAAAAGAATTGTGGAGCAGCATTAAGTGGCTGTAGTATGCAATTCCCCACCCATCTCTTGCAGTAAACACATTACAGCCTCTGTGATCTGTAACAACCACATAGGTGAACTAATTGTTCCAGCAGAACTTCTCCAGAGATAATTAGTCTTCTAATAAAACAAGGAAGCATTTACTTTTAGCAACATATGTTAACTTCCTGTTATGTATACAGATCTGTATGTTCTGTATACAATAAGCCTCTGCTAATTTAATATTACAGCAATTAAAAAAGGAATATGTGTTCTAACTCCTTTCCTAATAATTGACAAATTCTCTTTCAAACAATCTTCCCAGGGCTGAGCTTGTAAGCTTTTAAATTTTACTTAGAATTGGATCATTATGCATAAGAATTAGTTTATTTCCTCATTTGGTAAGGCAGCTGGACTAGATGATCATTGTAGGTCCCTTCCAGCTGAAATACTCTATTCTATTCTATTCTATTCTATTCTATTCTATCCTATCCTATTCTATTTCTGTAATTCTGAGATGTGCTCAGTTTTCAGTGATGACGTTTACCACTGAAGAGGTTGCTACGGAAGTATCACAAACCAGCTTTGCATGATTTTTTTCTGCTACCACTAGTTGGACAAAAGGAAAACAAAATATTATTTTCATTTTCTAGACGGAGCAATTCAGAAAAGAATGTTCTTCTAGCTATTAGAAATACTAGTTGGACAAAATGAAAACAAAATATTATTTTCCATTTTCTAGACCGAGCAATTCAGAAAAGAATGTTCTTCTAGCTATTAGAAAGGCAGGGAAACACTCTGCATGCTGCATTTTATCAGATACAGAAAGGTTCATGCCAGTGCTTCCTTGCAAGTTACACATATTGGCATCTGAAACAGCTACATCAGATGTCTACAATAACTACATTTATAAAATAATCTCCTTAATACTGACAATAAGATTTCTTTCTAAATCATGTATGTCCAGTATAATGAAATACGAAAACAAATCCAAGTAACAACTAATGAACAAACTTAATTTTTTTTTTTTATTTTGTCATGGGTTATACAAAGAAGTTCATTAGTGAAAACAGTAATCTGAACTACGCAGGATAACATGGGCACATAAATTAAATACAGATGCTCATAAGAAGCAATGAGGAAAAGAGAAAAAAGGTTTGAGAAATTAAATGAGTGAGCAACAAACAGCAAAAGAAAGCTAAACACAGATGACATTTTTATTTGTCTTTTCAAGTAAGAGGAATAAAGCGGTAGCTTTGTGAGATCTGAGCTGCACTGCAGAAGTATATTAATAAAAATATCTGTTCAGGTTGTTTGCTCAAAAGCCATCCAAAAATTGGGCAAAGGAGACTTATTGCATTGGAAAGACACTGATGGGAAGAAAAATGACAGCATAGCTTGCTGGTAAAGAACACCACAATCACATCTTCCACAAATCATGGGGTTGTGTTTTGAACTTATACAAGTGTAGAAGTGCATTTTTCCTTGCTTATCTAAGAACCAAGTGAAATACAATGACTTTGGCTGGTTTGAGTTAGGAGGATAAGCACTGAGATTCAGTACAAGCTACTTTTAAAGGTCACTTTGAATGAAGTGGTTGAAATAGCCACTGGAAAAAAAGAAAAGCTCTGCTGAGTATCAGTCATATTTTCACTGTGGTTCTTTTACAGCATGTTGTCATTATCTACCATCATTGAACAGCACACAAGGAAACTTCACCACAATGACTGGAATTCCTTGCTGACCAAAATGCCTAAACTTCACCTGCAAATCAGTACATCAGATGTGTTCCTTGGGGTGAATTAAGAATTTAACAACATTTTTGGAGTGACAAATGAGCAAAAAGACCTAATGAGAGAGTTAATGGGATGTGGTAGCTGCTTGGATAAAGAAACTGGGACTATTAACATGAGACATTTACCTAGAGCCACAACCACCCCTACTTAATTGGCCATTATGGAATGAATTAATGAGAGGCATATTTGTATATTACATAAGACAAAAAGGATTTGAGCTGAGATCTGCCTTTCTAGAAGAATTTTACTTCAGTGTGCTGAACGCTGAGTCTCACATAACAACACACTGACTGAGAAGTTATTTACCATTTTTTCCAATTCAGCCTACAATTTTCCCATTTGTAAAAAGCTGGTAACTTTGATTTCCACCAGTTGCAGCATGCATTTTAATTCTAATGCATTTATTTCAACCTCTGTTGAATGCATGTGAAGCTGATGGAAAGCATTAAGAAGCAGGAATGTAGCACTCTTCACAGTAATTCATGAGTTCTAAGCAAGATACAGTGAATACCAAAGGATAAGGCAACAGAAGCCTCATAGTTGCTATGGAGAAAATTTAAAAGCAAGTAATTGTAAAGCTAGAACTTTCTCTACCGAAAATTTTACCTAAGTAATTAAAAAAGCCCACACAACCAACATACAAAATACCCAAACCCAAAGATATTTTTCTGTCTCTGTATAAATGAAATGGAAAACAAGCAGCATTCCTGTATACACAGAAGTATCTGCACTTCTACAAGCAGTGTCCTCACAATCCAGAGAAAAAACAAAGTACAGTTAGTTTTTTGCTATAACGTCCCTGTGTGAAATGCCTGGTCTTTCGGAGGTTACATCTGGTATCACTGACGGATCAAATTGCTTTACATACTGTATTTCACAGGACATGCAGTAAGGTGTTCATCTCCTCTTCCACTGCAGCTCTACACATTTTATCACTGCCTTTGAAGATCATGATTAACGTTTCAAGTTGACGACAACAGGTAATTATTTTCATAATTTACTAACCAAAATCCAGAATTTTAGATAAGCAGATATGCATGACAAAAGGAAGCATGTATTATACTTGGTTTGAAATTTATACAGCTTTACATTTGTGTTAGGCAAATGTGTCCGAAGACATTATATCTCTACAGGTCATCATGACATTTATTCTCTCAGAGCTCACTGAAGTTACAAGGAGTCCTTTCGACATGCAGTGCTACAGGAGGAAAGTATATAAACAATAT